TTTGGTAGAATTCACCTATGAGGCTGTCTGGTCCTGGACTTTTGTTTTTTGGAAGTGTTTTGATTACTTGATTCAATTTCATTAATGGTAATTGGTTTGTTCAAATTTTCTATTTCTTCCTGCTTTAGTTTTGGTAGGTAATAGGTTTCTAGGAATTTATCCATTTCTTCTAAGTTGTCCATTTTGTTGACATAAAGGTTTTCCTAATATTCTGTTATAATTGTATTTCTGTGGTGTTGGTTATTTCTCCACTTTCATTAGTTATTTTGCCTACTTGGGTCCCACTCCCCTTTTTTTAAGGAATTTGGCTAAAGGTTTATCCATTTTATTGATCTTTTCAAAGAACCAACTCCTTGTTTCATTGATCTGCTCTATATAGTTTTTTTAGTTTCTATTTTATTTCTGCTCTAATCCTTATTATTTTCTCCCTCCTACTGGTTCTGGGTTACATTTATTGTTTTTTTTTTTCTGGCTCCTTTAAGTGTAAGGTTAGGTTGCTTTGAGATTTTTCTTGCTTCTTGAGGTAGGCCTGTATTTCTATAAACTTTCCTCTTAGAACCACTTTTGCTGCATCCCAGATTTTGGACTGTTGTGTTTTCATTTTCATTTGTTTCCATGTAATTTTTGATGTCCTCATTGATTTCTTGGTTGACCCATTCATTGTTTAGTAGCATGTTACTTAACCTTCATGTATTTGTATTATTCCCAGATTTTTTTCTTGTGATGGATTTCTATAGTGTTGTGGTAGGAAAGATCCATGAGAGTACTTTCATTTTTTTTTTTCTTTTGTTGTTGTTTTTGAAACTTGTTTTGTGGCCTAACATGTGATCTATTCTGAAGAACATCCCATATGCACTTGAAAAGAACGTGTATTCTGCTCTTTTAGGCTGGAATGTTCTGAATATGTCTGTAAAATCTATCTGGTCCAGTGTGTCATTCAAAGTCACTGTTTCCCTCTTGATTTGCTGTTTGGATGATCTGTCCATCAGTGTGAGTGAGGTATTAAAGTCCCCTGTTGTTACTGTATTGCTATCAATTACTTCCTTTGTGTTTGTTATAACTGTTATGTATTTGGGTGCTCCCATGTTGGGTGCATAAATATGTACAATTATTATATTTTTTGTTGGATTATCCCGTTAGTATATAGTGTCCTTTGTCTCTTGTTACAGTCTTTGTTTTGAAGGCTGTTTTGTCTGATATAAGTATTACTACTCCAGCTTTCTTTGGACTTCCATTTGCTTGATAAATGTATCTCCATCTCCTTACTTTCAATCTGCAGGTGCCATTCAGTCTGAAATGAGTCTCTTATAGGCAGCATATAGATGGATCTTATTTATTTACTCCATCACCCTATGTCTTTTGATTTGGAGTGTTTAGTCATTATGTTCAAAGTAATTACTGATAAGTATTGCCAATTTGTTACTTATTTGTGGTTGTTTCTGTAGATTTTCTCTGATCCTTGCTTTCATGGTTTATTGGCTTTCTTCAGTGATATACTTGAATTCCTTTCTCTTTATTCTTTGATATGTTACTGGTTTTTGATTTGTGGTTACCATTAGATTTATATATAGTATCTTCTGCATATAGCAGTTGATGGTCACTTAAGTTCAAACCCATTCTTTTCTCGCCCCACAAATTTTAGGTATATGGTATTTTACATCCTTTTATTTTTTGTGAAACCCTTGACTGATTTTTTTTTTTTTTACAGAAATACTTTTTACTGCTTTTGTGTTTTCCTACATTTCATACTCTCAACTTAAGGTCTTTCCTTTCCATTCAGAGTCCCCATTAATATTTCTTATAGAGCTGGTTTAGTAGTGGTCAGGAACTCCTTTTTTGTTTGAGAAAATTCTCTCTCCTTATATTCTGAACAATATCCTTGTAGATAGGCGTATTTTTGGCTCTAGATTTTTCCCTTTCAGCATGTTGAATATATCCTGCTACCCCCTTCTGGCCTGCAAAGTTTCTGCTGAAAAAGCTGCAAAATTTTTTTCCTTATTACTATTTTTTGCCATTTTAATTACTGTATGTCTTGGTGTGGAATTCCTTGGGTTGAATTTGGTGGGGTGTGGGGGAGATCTCTGTGCCTCCTGGATGTGGACATGTGGATCTCCTGGATGTGTGGGGAATTTTTCAGCTATTTGTTCAAATAAATTTCCTGCCCCCCTTTCTCTCTCTTCTGAGATCCCTATAATGCAAATGTTATTACGCTAATGGAGTCAGTGAGTTCTCTAAGACTATTCTCTATCTGCCTAATTTTCTTCTCTTTTGTTCAGCTTAGTTACTTTCTATTACTCTCTTCCAAGTCGTTATTTTTATTTCCTCTGCTTTATCTAGCCTCCTTTATGTTCCATCAAGTGTATTTTAAATTTCATTTATTGTGTTGTTCATCTGATTCTTTTGTATCTTTGTGTTAAGGGTCTCACTGATGTCCTCCACTCTTGTCTTGGGTCCAGTGTGTAGCTTTATGATCATTACTTTAAATTTTCTATCAGGCATACCACTTATATCTATTTTGCTTTGATTTCTTGCCGTGGTTTGGTCCTGTTCCTTCATTTAAGAGCTATTTCCCTGTCTCCCTGTTTTGTCGGACTTCCTGTGTCTATTTCTTTGTTAGGAAAGTCAGCTACTTCTCTTGCTCTTGACTATAATAGCCTTATGTAGAAGAGGTCCTTTCGTGCAGTGTTCCTTGTTCTCCAGGGCCTGGTGCTTCAGGGAATGTCTCCTATGGGTGTTGTGTGTGCTCTGCTGTTGAGTCTTGCCCTCTTTTTTCTTCAGTCCGGTTGTCTGCAGAGGCTGTGTTTGCCTATTGTGGGCAGCGTTTAACAAGGTGTGTGGTGGTCTGCTAGTGAAATGAGACCTGCTCCCGCCAGAACGGAGTTCCTGCACAACGTGCCAGTCAGATGTGGTGTTGGTGGGGTTTCCATGGGTCTTCTCAGGGAGGGGGCCCACAGTGACTGGACTAAGGTGATCATGACTGGGAAGGGTGGATCCGCACAAGTGTGGGGTGGGGCTTGGTGTAAGCAAGTTAGGTAACAAATGTTAGTGCTGCAGTGATTCCTGCAGGTATCCGTTGTTTATGTGGTGGGCAGGGGAGGGACCCTAGAGGGGTCTCCCTGTGATCCCTCTCTCCAGGCCATGCTCTGAGATGAACAAATCAGTCTCCTTCCCATCTACCGCTGGTGTTTTGCAAACTGCTGGTTCTATGCTGTATCTGTCCAAGACTCTTTAGGGGCGGGAACTCTGCTTCCTAATGCCCTCCAGGCTCTCCTGGAGCTGAGCCCGTTGATTTAAAAATTCCTGCCTCTTAAGTAAGTCCCAGTGGTTGTAAGAACTCAAGAAATTGGCTTCCTCTCACTTTCAAAGGCAAATATTATGGGGATTCGTCCTCCCCATTTATGGGCTCCCCAGTGTGAAAGTCTATTTTCTGTCCTTCGTGCCACTGTTTGTTTCCCTTCCCGCTGTGGATGGCCCTAATCCGCTTTGCTCCTGGACCACGTCTTTGTCCTTTCTACCTTCTTTGACGTGGCCTCTTGTCTACCATTTACTTAGTTGTGGAGTTTATCCTGCCAGTCTTTGCATCATCTTTTGGGTTTATACTGATGTAGTGTTACCCACTTGTATCCATGGGGCAAGGGGAGCCTAACATCTTCCTACTCAGCCATCTTCCCAGCTGACCCTCTGCCCCACTGATCTTTATGCCTATCGATATCCTACTGTATTGCTTACTGTAGCTTTGTGTGGTAAGTTTTGAAATCAGGAAGTGTTTTTCAGAATTGTTTTGGCTATTTTGGAAATCCTTTGTATTTCCCTAGAAATTTTAGGATTAGCTTGAAAATATTTCAAAAAAAGCCTACTGGGATTTTAAAAGGGATTGCATTGATCTATACCAATGTGGGGAGGACTTCCATCTTAATAACAAACTTCTAATTCATAAACATGGAATATCTCTATGCCTTCTTTAATGTCTGTTTTATAGTATTCATTATGCAAGTTTTTTTTTTTTTTAAGATTTTTATTTTTATTTATTTGAGAGAGAGCATGAGCAGGGGAGAGGCAGAGGGAAAGAGAAAGGGAGAAACAGACTCTCTCTCTGCTGAGCAGGGAGCCTGACGTGGGCCTTGACCCCAGGATCCCGGGATCAGGACCCAAGCCAAAGGCAGATGCTCAACCAACGGAGCCACCCAGGTGCCCCTCATTATATGTTTTACACTCCATTTATTTTTAAGGATTTTTTTATTTTAGGGAGCAAGTGCACAAGTGGGAGAAGGAGAGAGAATCTCAAGCGGACTCTGTGCTGGGCATGAGCTAACCCACAGCTCGATCTTCAGACACTGAGATCAGGACATGATCTGAAATCAAGAGTCAGACGCTTAACTGACTATGCCAACCAGGCACCCCACAAGTCTTGTACTTCTTTTGTTAAATTTACTAAGTATTGAATTCTTTCCGGTGCTACTGTGAATGGAATTTTCTTCCTTTTTGGATTTTACATTGCTAATATACAAAAACAGCTGATTTCTGTATATTGTAGCCTGTGACTTACTGAACTTGTAGATTCTTGTCCATTAAGCTCCTCACTCCATCAGGCTGCTTTCTGGACCCTTTCCATGGTTAGACTTCTAGCTGCTGTCATTTCCTCCAGTGTCCAAGAGTGTAGATCTGATTCTTATTTTGTTTCTTGGCCCTCAGTAAGGCTTCCCAAATTGTCTGAGGGCCCCCCCCCCCCCTTAACTGCTCTGGAGGCCTTGTAACTTGCATGCTTGACAGACATTTTGAAAAAGCTGTGTAAATTTTGAAACTAGTTTCCTTTTTTTAGTTGAGTCCAGAAAATTCTGGAATACTCCTGTTTTGGACTTGTAAGATTAACTACACTGCTCAGGACCATTTTATAGCACAGTTTCTTTAAAAGAATAGTGACTGACTAGACTTCCAAAGGGCTTCATCTTAGATTGCATTTATTGAACTCTTCACTGTTTTAAGAATCTAGAGTTTAGATTGTGAGGCCAAAATGGGAATGTTCTCAAATGTCTGTCAACCAATAAATAAGATCAATATTTATTAACGTTTCAACTTAAGATTTCAATTTTCATTTTCAAGTAAATAAAAATACTATGTCTTACAGCTAGGGATGCAAGGACTTGGTTATCCTTGTTGGAAAAATGGTTCTCCTCTATCTAGGGGAAGTCACTGTATAGTTAGGGACCGGGAAGCAGGGGGCTGAAATCTAAAGAGGTCTTTCTTGGAACAAAGCTAGTTATCAGTTACCACCAAAACATTATTGTAGCTAGAATTCCAGAAATGATGAATAGACGATCATCTTCTATTCGGTCTTCATGGATTATACCTGGGAAGCAAAAAAGACAGTTTGGATAAAACACCTAAAATATTTATTTTACTAGCTTTTGGGAACACTGTGTGTTGTTTTCCCAATATACATTGCATTTTTTCCTCATTATGTAGCAATAGTGATTTATGTGGAATAGACCCAACTCACATTCAGCTTGAGGGAAGGCTGTGATGGGTCTAGGTCAGTAAGAAAATCTTCTTCTCTCTCCCATCCTTTGTCAGGATGATTGGGTTAATTTATAGCAATCCCATGGGCATGTGTTTGGTTCAGGGGTGCCCTCAATTAGTGTGAAGTTCAAGACTCTTACCCAGATATTGGAATATACTACATATGAAGCTGGGAACTCCTGAACAATTTTGCCACTCAGCTTCGAAGATGGCCACCAACGACCCTTGGCTCTAGTATTCATGCCATTATGCAGTCCTTTCACCTTGAATGTGGGGTGGACCTAGTGATTAATTTGTAACTTGTCATGGAAAAAGTGATGGGATGTCACTTCTGAGATGAGTTACAAAAAAGCTGTGGCTTCCATTTTGCTCACTATGAGGGTAAGGCACATGACAAGTACAAGGTACACTATGTAGAAGTCCCTGGATGACAGCCAGTGAGACACTGAGGCCTTGAGTGCACCAGCCTCTGAGGAACTAAATCCTGCCAACAACCACAAGAGTGACCTTAGAACGGGATCGTCCTCTAGTTGGGCCTTCAGATGACACTGTAGCCCTAACAGACAGCTTCACTGCATACTCAGGAGAGACTGTGAGCCCGAGGCCCAAAGCTAAACTGTGTCCAGATTCCTGACTCATAGAAAGTGTGAGATAAAAAGTCTTTGGAGTAATCTGTTAAGCAGCAAAAGTTAACTATCATTCTATCATAAGAAAAGCTGGAGGGCGCCTGCGTGGCTCAGATGGTTAAGCGTCTGCCTTCGGCTCAGGTCATGATCCCAGGGTCCTGGGATCGAGCCCCGCATCGGGCTCCCTGCTCAGCGGGGAGCCTGCTTCTCCCTCTGCCTCTCATGAATAAATAAATAAAATCTTAAAAAAAAAAATCTGGATTATATTTGCAACTGAAAACACATTAATACAACCTTTTCAATATTAAGTTACTATTAGCAAGTATATTAGACATTAGTCATTATATACAAGTGAACTTATGATTTATAAAAATCATGTATAGAGAAAAAAAAACTACCTATTCACAACTCTCTTTTTCTCATAGGGAAAATTATGTATGAAGGCTCAATTCATTCAGAATCCCTTATAGTACTGAAGGTTTGGCAAAGGTTTACTTTTGCTGATTTACATTGTTTATGTGTGTAAGTAAAAAGTGATCACAGAGGAAACTTAAAAACATCTATTGGTGTGAAAGTACTTTTGAGGACTTTCAATATCTGTTTATATACAAGTTTTAAATATGCTAATAAAAATGATTCTTACTGGGTACTGTTCACGAAAGCAGATCTGGAAGGACCTCTGATTAAGACTTTTTTTTTTTTTTTTTAACCAATTTTCTGTATCTGAAGCTCAATAAAACAAAGAACTCCAACTTCACTGTATTCTTAGAAGGGCCTCTGAATTAATGCTTATACAGGCCAAACTGAGCTCACTCCCTAAGGAAAAGCTTTTGTTTTACAAGGTTTTCGGGGGAAGCAGGGTCATATGAAAAAGCCAGTGGGTATAAATTGGGCGGGGAAGACAGTGCTGACTTCTTACATTCAATTTTTGAGCATGTTCAATAAAGGGATGTTCCTTCTTCCCTGCCAAAATTCTTCTCTCAGATATCCTTCTCATATATTTAAAAATGTGCTTGAAGAGTTTTTTGGTTCTGTTTTTACAAAAAATGATATATATATATATATATATATCAAACATGTTTCTGCAGAAACAGGATTGGAGGGAGAGGGGGAGGTGGATTTTCCTTTTCTAAATTACATATGCACTTTTGTATTTTTCAGTTTTTACAACAAGCTTGTATAATGTAAGAAATTGAAATTAAAAAAAAAAAGGAGAATGTTCCCTGGGAGAGTCTCACTTGTAGTTTCAGCTGAATTTCTTCAATCATAACATGAAATCAATACCTATCTGAGCACCTGGGAGAGCAAAGTGGGAAGCGGAGGAAAGGGGGAGAGGTATGCTGAAGGCAGGCTGAAGGGGGAGACGCTCTGATAGTCGTGAAAGAGGCAAGAACCTGGGAGACGAGGGGAGGGCTGTGTGCCGGGGAACAGGGCCAGGGCTCAGCAGTGGGACTTACACATTCATCTAGTTATCTGCCCTGGAGATGACTGAAGTAGGGACTGGGTAGGGGATGGTTTCCTTGGAGACGGAAGTAGGCTGAGGGTGTCCTCAGGGGACGGCTGCAGTAGTTAGGTTTCTTCCCAGGAAACAGCAATTTACTTCAACCAGTAAGATGGGACATGAGGCATGGTCTAGGTTTGAGTGTGAAGCTGGTAGGAGGGAGTTTTCTGGAGTACCAGAAACAGAACTAACTCCAGGAACCTGTAAGGAAGGATAACAAGGATGGGGCGGGGGGCAGAAAGTAACAGGAGTGGATAGAAAGTGATAGGGTGGCTGAGAACTAAGGGCTATCATGTTCTTCCTTAGCAAACTGAGGAGATCTTGAGGTCTATACTTGGTTTGTAATGAATATGAATATGAAATGAGATTCCAAACAGGCAACAAATGAAAAAACAAAACACAATCTAACTCACCACTCCGTGGTTAACAGCTGGTTTTAAATATGATGGTTAAGCTTTCAAGGTCTTCATTCTTTAAATGTAATTCTTCAAGCAAAGTCTCTATAAACTGTGTAAACACCACATTTTCCTGAGAATGCTTCTGAATGCCAAGAATTGGGGTCAGTCTGAAAAGACCAAAAATATTAAATGCATATTCATGAAATGAGGACTAAGGGGCTCCTGTCTTCTACATAGCAGAGGGGATTTTTGTCACAGCAGAGAAATGAAGTCTTTCTGATCTAACAAAATTCCCAGAGACAGAAGGCTTTACTAATAAAGGCAGAGAAGAAATCTCGGGAAAAGAATGAAAGATCAAACATACTGTTAGGAAACCGAAAAGCCTGAATCTATAACATGCTCTTCATTATGCCAGGAAAAGCTACCAAGTTCTCAGAAATGAAAATGAAGTCTTTCCACTTAGGGAAAAGAAGCTGTGGAAAGAAGCTTAGAGATGAGAACTGCTTTAAAACCATACTGAATGTTTATATCACCTGAATAAAAAAAATAAATGATAAACAGGATCACCTTTTGGATGAAACCTTAATATTTTTATTTTTAAAACACTAAATAGATGAATTACATCTTATAAGGCACTTAATACAATCTTCTAAAGAACACTGTGCTTCTTTCCCAAGTCACTTCCAGTAAACAACTGATTGCATATAATATTCTCAAAAGTAATTTTCAATGAAATGTCATTATTCACTTTTTAAAAGTCATGCTTACTAATCAAAGATTAAGACCATTACTTTCCATAAATTATGTATGTAACTACATATAATAATTATGTATATATTATGTATAATCTCCAGAGAGCATGCCTTTGTAAGGTATATTTCTGGAAAGCTTTTGGCGAGAAAATTCTTTTATCCTTGAGTAGTCTTATACTTACCACAAAGATCTTCCAGATGCTTTTTGAACGCTGGTCACTGCCACCAGGCACATCAAATATAAATAACCCTCTGACTTCAATCAATAAAGCTCAAGGAATCAGAGTGGAGCAACTCCACAGTAATGAGTGTGGAAGAGGAAATGTGACATTCTCAGAGACTTCTTGCTTGCTTAGCCATCTTATACAGAAAGCAGAAGTAAAAGGAAATCTTTGTCACGTTGTCTAAAGATAGCCGGGACGTGGAGGAGGTGGTAAGTTCTCTGCATCTCTCAAGGTATCTTGGCAAGAAATGGAGACTAGGTGACTCCAAAAGTCCAGTGAAATTCACAGAGTTCTAACATGGGAAAACCACTGTAGTGTATTCCTTCCCCACCTCTCCCGTATTTCTTTATAGCTGGAGAATGCACTACCAGGTTTTGACATTTTAATGAGCTTTATCTGCAGGTATTCCCCAAAGGTCGTTAGGAAACAGGATAACACAAGCTTTCCAATGCCAAGCCCAAGCTGGGCACTTGGGTAAACTTAGGCATTTGTGGCCAGCTTTTCCTGAGTCATCTTCCTGCCATGAAGGTGGAACCCAGAAGTCAACTCTGGCTTTTCTCACACGAATAAAATTGCTCTTTCCCCACAATACGAGCGAAGTTACTGGGGACTGGATTACTTCAGCTAAAATAAAACCAAGAAGTCAGGAGGCAGATCAGATCTGTCAACTCCATACAAAGGTAGCTTTTGTGTATATTTAAAAATGGTATACATGGCACATCCAAAACAATTTCTGACTTTCAAAGAGACTAGTATTTAATTCATATATGAAAACAAAGTCTCAATTACTTCTCAAAGTGCCATTAGTATGTTTTAAAATTTAACCCTCAAAGTAGAAGTAAATGGTGATAGCTAGATTTCTCAACCTATGTGCCCATATGAGAGCAGAAAATGGGAAGATTAAGAAGCAACTTTTGAGAATCATTCTATCAAGTGCCAGGGTTATAAAATATTTTAGGAACAGTGATACTTCTCTAGCAAACTTATAAGGCTAAAATTATAATAACTTCATTATGTGTTCACAGACACCTAAAAGTTTTGTTTACAAAGGAGGGAAGACAATGATGCAGAAAGACCCTCAGCTAACCTCCTCCACACAGTTAATCTGCACCTACATGTTGAGCAATTCCCCCTGAAGAACTGAGGGCTGACTGAACAGGGCTAGAGAGATCACACAGAGAAAGACATGAGAGAGAGAGACACGGTAACAACAGGAATCCAACCCCCACCCCCACCACCCCCATCTTGCCAACTGCAGTGGGGAGATAGTACCCAGAGACCAGAAGTACAGCTCAGCCCTGTGGCAGAGATAAAAAAGACGCACTTTAAAAGAGCACCTAGAATATGAAGGAACCGGCTCTAGAGCATCTGAAAAACAGCAGGGAGTGGCTAGAACACTCTCCCTGGGTCCCAGGTACTGGCCAGCACCATTGTTTATATTCCCTGTCCACCCTGATAGCACAGATGGGAGCTGGCCTGCTGCTTCAGTGAGCCTCAGTCCCTTAGGACCCCAACTAGCCCCAGCTGCCCTACTGCACAGGGAAAAAAAGGCTGTAGATTAAAAGAACAACTGGAAGATAATGGAATGAGTTCTAGGGCATCTGCCAAAAGGCCAGGGAGCTGCTGGAACACACCAGTATCAAAGGTGCTGGTGAGGGCCATGGCTTATGTTCCCCTCCCACTTCATAGCACAGACAAAAGCAGGGTCTGGGCACCCTAGCCACCTGCCACAGTGAGCCCGGGCCCCTAGCCCACCAAACCACACCAAACCCAGCTGCCCCTACAGGTGGCCCTCCAACTCTTGCCCTAGAGCTCTAGCTGTCTCCCTAAGGTAGCCCCAGTGCAGTGCACACTGAACCACCCCCGGACAGCACCCACTACAGCTCCAGCTGTCTTGCCAAGGTAACACAGGCACAATCATTGTGCGACATCCTAGGCCTGTACCTGCTTCACTTCAGCTCTAGACGACTCATGAGGGCACCTACTGCACCGAGTGACCCAGGACCTCCCAGCCCATACCTGCTTCAGCAGCAGCTGTCCTGCCAGGGCGCCCGAAGTGCAGAGAGCCCTGAGACCTCCTGGCTGGCATCTGTCTTCGCTCCAGCCATCTTGTCAGGGTACTCCCTGCATGGAGTGCCTCGGGACCCCCGGGCCCACACCTGCTTCAGCTCCTGCTGTCCCATCAAGGAGCACTCTACATGGAGCACCCTGTGACTCCTAGCCCAAGGCCACTTTGGTTCCAGCTGTCCTGGCGTGGCGCCCCCCTGAGCAGAGTACCCAAGGACCACCTGGTTATGCTTCAGCTCCTGCCACCTTGCCAGGACGCCCCGGAATGCAGAACACTGTAGGACCCACTCCCATCCCCTGCTGCCCGCTTTGGCTCCAGCCTTCCCACCAGGGTGCTACGTGCCTGGGACACCCCAGGACTCCCAGCCTACACCTGTTACGGCTTCAGCCAGCCAGCTAAAGTCACCCGCGTAGTCTACACCGGAGATATTCCTACACAAGGCCATTACCTCACGTCTAAGAGAAACAGCTGTTCTGCCTAATTCAAAGAAACAGAAAATCAAAATGAGATAGAGGAATGTGCTTCAAAAGAACAAAGCAAAATTTCAGGAACAGAAACAGAGCCAAGCAATCTATATGATAAAGAATTCAAAGTAATAGTCATAAAGATGCTCACTGGACTTGAGTGGATAAACTCTGAACTTCAACAAAGATAAAAAGTATAAAGAACCAACCAGTTGAAGAATAAAGTAACTGAAATGAAAAATATACTAAAGGGAATCAACAGTAGATGAGAGGATACAGAAGAAAGGATCAGCAATGTAGAGAACAGGGTAATGAAAAGCATCCAAGCTGAACAGCAAAATCCTAAAAGGATTTTAAACAATGAGAACAGGTTAAGAGATCTTTAGGACAATATCAAGTGTACTAACATTCACTTGATAGAGGTCCCAGAAAAAGGGGGGAGAGAGAGAGAGAGAGAGAGAGAAAGGGGCAGAAAATTCTGAAGAAATAATAGCTAAAAACTTCCCTAACTTGGGGAAGGAGACAGACATCTAGGTCCAGGAGGCACAGAGAGTCCCTAACAAGATGAACCCAAGGATATCTACACCAAGCCATATGATAATTAAAATGTCAGAGTAAAGATAAAGAATCTTAAAAGTAGCAACCAACAGAAAAACAACTGGTTACGTGTAAGGAAAACCCCATGAAGCTATGAGCTGATTTTTCAGTAGAACTTTTGCAAGCCAGAAGGTAGGATATAATCAAAGTGCTGAAAGGAAAAACCTACAACCAAGAATATTCCAACTAGCAAGGGTATTCAGAATAGAAGGAGAGAGAGAGTCTCCCAGACAAAAGTTAAAGGAGTTCATCACCACTAAACCAGCCTTACAAGAAATGTTAAAAGGACTTCTTTAAGCAAAAAAAAGATAAGTCATAATTAGAAAATTATGAAAAGAAAAAAATTCATAAGTGAACATAAAGTTAATAGGTCGATCACTAAAAAAGCTAGTATGAGTATTAAAAGACAATAGTAGTAAAATCACCAGACATTTTTCTAAAAAAGACATATAGATGGCCAACAGACATATGAAAAGATGCTGAACATCACTCATCAGGGAAATGCAAACAACCACAATGAGATATCTCACACTTGTCAGATGGCTAAAATAAAAAACTCAAAAAACAAGTGCTGGTGAGGATGTGAAGAAAAAGGAACCCTCGTGCGCTGTTAGTGGGAATGCAAACTGGTGCAGCCACTGTGGAAAACAGTATGGAGGTTCCTCAAAAAGTTAAAAATAGAACTATCCTATAATCCAGTAATTGCACTATTGGATATTTACCCAAAGATTACAAAAATACTAATTTGAAGGGATACATGCACCCCTATGTTTAATGCAGCATTATTTACAATAGCCAAGATATGGAAGAAACCCAAGTGTCCATCTATAGATGAATGGATAAAGAAAATGTGGTACACACACACAGTGAAATATTATTCAGCCATAAGAATGAAATCTTGCCATTTATATCAGCATGGATGGATCTAGAGAGTTTAATGCCAAGCAAAATAAGCCAGTCAGAGAAAGACAAATACTGTATGATTTCACTCATACGTAGTATTTAATAAAGAAAACAAATGAACAAAGGGGGGAAAAGAAAAGAGACAACCCAAAAAACCAG